CAGAGCTGCTCCAGCCCTCGCAGCAGCTCCAGGGCCTCCTCTGGCCTCGCTCCAGCAGCTCCACGTCCCTCTGGTGCTGTTGCCCCCGTGGCCAGGCCGGGGTGTCCCCCCGATCTGCTCCTGCATCCAGCCCTCTGCGTGCGGAGGGAACAGGAGGGTGGAGCCTCCCACATTGCCAGATCCAGGAGCTCTGACACTCGTCTTGCAGAGACAGAGCCCGTCGGCACCGGGCAGGGACGGGGGCGCAGCCAGAGCCTGGGAGCGGGTCAGGGTCCTGCTGTGCGAAGAGGTCCTGGAGGGAACCAGGAGCAGTGAAGTGGGGTTAGGGAAGGGTTTCCCCTGGGATTTGGGGTCCAGACGTAGCCCCCCCGCCCGGAGGGCCATGCAGGAGGAGCTGGGCTGTCCCCAGCCCCTCGGGGACTGAGGCAGGACACTCCTGGACAGGGAAGCACAGGGTTGGTTCCAGCTATGTGGGGCCCACAGCAGCCCCCCGGCACCTGCACGCTGCTGGTCCTGCTGCTCGCATTCCCGATGCCACGGGTAAGCATCCCTGGGAAGGACGGGATGGGAGCGGGGGGACAGCACGCAGGGCGGTCCCTGCCTGTGACAGCCCTGGGGAGCACATGTCTGCGGTCCCGGCCAGGGCTCACGTCCCCATCCCTGTCCCCATCCCTCGTGCTGATGATTCCAAGCCCTGGGAAGTGCCGGCACCGCTGCACCCACCCCTGTGCCTTCACGGCACCTTCTGGGGGATCAGTTCGGCGTCCTGAGGGAGGGAGGTGGGTGATGCTAGGACTCATTGTGCTCCCCAGGGCTGGGACCGGGCTCGGGGTTTAGCTCCTGCCTGGCTCTGGGACATCCCCTGGGTGGCTCCACTCCATCCTCACATGGGTCCTGCGCGGCTTTGCTCACACCGAGCTCCAAACCTCAAGGGCTTGGGAAGCATCCACTGGTGTGAAGGTCGGGGCATCTGTAGGGTGCTGGGGGCAAGGACCGCGTGTGCAGCGCTCCCCGTCTCCGGGCAGAGCCGTGGGGATGGTGACACCGAATGTCCACTGGAATTTGGGGACATGGAGCGGTTGAGCTGCCGCGGGGGTGGGGGTGGGGGGCTGGAAAACCCATCCGAAGATGTCAAATTGCTTCAGAAGCAAATGCCGGGTGAGGGCTCCGGTGGGAGGGAGGCTCAGGTCGGCGTTCCTCTGCCAAGCCCTCGGGATGTGTCCTGGTGCTGCTTTGTTCCATAAGTTCTTTATCTAACATGGAGGCTCTGGGTAATGGGAAGAAGAAGAAAATTAAAAGAAAGGGGAGTGGAGGGGAAAACATGAAAGAAAAAAAAAAGAAAGGGAAAAAATTAAAATTAAATGGAAAAACGGGAAGGGATGGGACGGGAAGGGAAGGGAAGGAAAAAGGGGGAAAGGAGAAAGGAGAACAGGGAAGAGGGAAGGAGAGGAGAAAGGAAAAGGGGAAGGGGAAGCAGAAAGAGAAAGAGAAAAGGAAAAGGAAAAGGAAAGCAATCATGGCAAGGGGAGCACCAAAGCCTCTGAGGGATAGGGAGAGCAATGGCATCAGTCCCCTTCCCAGATGGGGAAACTGAGGCCCGGCAAGGAGTGCCCTGAAGCAAGCTGTGACGGGGCACTGCATGGTCCTGCAGCAGCCAGGCTACGTGCCCATAGGTAACAAACCCCAGCAGCAGGAGGATCAGACGTGCCCCAGTAAGTGGGGTTTAAATCTAATGACACGGGTTCCTTGCTCAGGCTTTGGACGTGCTCCCCTCTGCCCTGCTGATGGGGTCAGCCCCTCTGTCTTTAAGCTCAGCTCCTCTGCATGTGTCTTGGTGGAGCATCACACACCTCTGGAGGGAATTAGGAATCATTGAGGTGGTTCCTGGTGGCGTTTACAAGGCAAACAGTAGAAAGCCAAGGAAATGGCAGGGTCTAAAAGGATGGTTACACGCTGGGCTCTCCTGGGGCTGGCTGCAGAGAGTTAGTGACTCTTGGCTGGTACCTTCCTGCTCAGGCATCCTCTGCCTGCCCTTTCCCCCTTCCCAAGGCACAAGCGACACATCCTGACTGCTCCGTAGTCCTCTATTTCCAAGAGCAAGAAGCTGAATGTCTGGAGGTTATCAGGAGCGAAAGGCAAGCACCAGCCCCCCCTGGGCAGCAAGGTGAGTGTGAGCTGCATGGGGTTCAAATCCTGTGGGATGAGGGTGAGGATTTGCTAAGGGGGACTCTGTAGGATGATCTGTGGTAAGGGCAGGTTGCAGAGAGCACATGGATGCAGAAAAGCAGGTAATGGGAGAGAAAGGGCTAAGGAGCACCTCTGGAGAGCCCTGAAAAGTGCTGCTGCAGGGAGGGATAGGGGTGGGCTGAGGGTTGGAAACAACAACAGGGGCTGACATTCATGGCATTGGCAATGATGGTGTGGTCCATGCCCCAAACAGAGCCTCCTGCCCCATTCCCATCCTCCTTGCATTGATGGGCACAGGCAATGCTGAGCACAAGTGTCACCCAGTGCATGTCACCACCTCATGCCTTCTTGCCTTCCTAATTCAGTTTGGTTTAATGCTAAACATGTTCCGAGCAACTTCACTCTCACATATCCAGGACTTTAAAGCAATTCACTGATTGAAGAGCAGTTTTACAGTGCTGCTTTTGTACATGCTTTTGTAATTGCATTTCAGTTCCCATCCAAAAGCAGCTTCCTCAAATTCTGGATAAAAATGATTACCTGGGGAACAGGGAATGTGTCATTCAATGGGCTCCATCTAATACAAATGTGAACATTAAGCATCTCAATACATCCGTGTTAAGGTGCAGAATTGCTTAAGTAACTGTGCAGAGATAGCACGTATCATCCAGCTTAGCAGAGAAAAGCCAAGTTGATTGGAAAAGGTCCATTTTGCAGCACAGATCGTGCCAGCCAAGGGGAAGGAATCTCAGTGTGGGAAAATAACCACGAAGCACAAATGCATAATTCAAATAAGGATTTAATCTCAGGTTTCCTGCTTTGACAGACGCCTCCTCTGCTCATCTGAACTGAGTTTATCCCTTCCCCTCGCTTGTGCCAGCACGAGGAGGGTCCTGCGGGGAGCATGGCATGAAGTGGTGATGGGGGGAAGGCTCAGATGCCCTGGTCTTAGGGGCAATAAAGTGCGTAGGAACAGGACGGGGTCCTCAGGCTTCAGCATCCTGCTGGGGAACCCACCATGAGGTCCTTAAACTGGTTAGAGATGGTGCTTGAAGCCCTTTCACTCCGAAGCCTGCTCTGGTGCTCACAGCATTTACTGCTCTGATATAGCTGGGAAGAAATAACCTGCTGGTGAGGCTCCAATGATCTCCTGTGGAGGTCT